TTATAAAGCAAGTTCATGAACTGGATATGTTGCATTAACCAAAAAAGGGAAGCAGAAGCAAGACAATACAACAATGAAATTGCAGCATAAGAAATAGAAAATAAAGCGACTAAGGGCACTGAAGATGAAGCTCGTTCGGATTCCCCCACAAAAATATCCACTTTGCATTGATCAACTATGTCATTACCACCTATTGCATAATAAAGACAGGCCCTGAGTTTTAGTCCCGTTTTAAACTACTGCCTCCCTAAAATAAATATAAAACGTGATGTTACCATCCCAGTAAATTACCCAATTACTCTCATGGCAATCCCTTGACATAATTACCAATCTATCCCAACCACCCTGGACATTAAATAGCAACCAAGAACATCTCCTGTATTAGGCAGATAACTCTGCTCCCTTTCAAGATCAAGAACTATATCTATAACTAGCTTGGGATGATTATAAAATTAATTACTTTTAGAAGTGATATCTCATAGCTCTGAGAAAATGAACTTAATCCTAGCTTCAATCCACATCAAATTACCTTTCTTGCTCACCCAACCTAAACCAACCAACTCAATCTGAGCTAACTAGAACTACTTCTACCCGAATTGTGAAGATCACAATGTCAAGCCTAGGCCATCTTCAGTTGGATCAACAACTAAGACCAAGTCAAGGCACAATACTCCCATTGAAAATATACATCACCACTCATCAAATCATTGAAACAGTAAAGTGTTCAATTTGGTATCCTTAGTGCAGGAAGTTTTCTTTTGGGTATCCTTGTTAAAATTTGTTTCTCAATCATAGCAGGTTTTGGTTTTGCTTATTCAAATAGGATTAGGGTGACTTGTCCCAGTGGAACTAGGGGTTTCCAGGGTTGGTGTTTTGTAACACCCAAGGGAGTTGAGAGCGAGAGCCAAAAGGTTGATAGTAATCTTCATGGATTTAAGAGGGTGTACAAGGGGCATCCTATTGGATACGTGCTTGAGTTTGGGATTAAATCTGGAGATGCTATTCTTGTACTTAGTTTTGTTTTCTTATATAGTGAAGGTGAAAACTCTCTTGTAGGGAGGATTTTCCCAAAACACGTGGGGCTTTTTCCTACAAAGTCATTATCAGATAACAAAATTCACTTGCTAGCCTGTAATATAATGCGATCAAAGGACTACAGAAGTGTGAATTGAACTCAAGAACTAAACAGTAAAATTACCATCAGTTGCAACATCTGGTGACGATCCAAGAGAACCCAACAGCTTAGGCTTGGTTTTCCAGTACTGTTGAAACCTTTGCCTTGCATATTCCATGTAGTCAAAGTCAATATCATTCACATGTTCCTGAAAAATTGAAAAAGAAAAAATATAATGGATACAAAATTAGTAGAGTCCAAGAAAAACAAAGTATGATTACTATTTCCTACCAATTCTTTACCACGTATCCTAAATCTTGCCACAGAAAAGTACTGCTACCCAATATTTTAATCATGTAAGAGGTAGGTTAAACCCATGAAAACAACATTGAAATGATGAGTACCGATATTATTCCCCATAAGCCCCAAAACAGATGGCTTGCAAGAGTATATTTCTCAACGTCTTGAACCAGCTGCTCCACTTCATTCTCAGTAGGTTGACTGCCTGCGTACAGATCCCATAATTGAGAGAAAAGCAATAAATCATTCCAACTTCCTAAAAGAGATATTTCATATTTGAACATAATCAAGCATAAGATATTACCTGAAGAACTCAGGTACAAACGAACAAACCGCTGGCGCTCCTCCAAACCTGTAGTGAGAGGGAGGTCAGAATATAGCATGGCAACAGAAGGAAATAAGAAAAAGATAGACATCAAAGAATGTGTCACAACAGATGACAAACCAGGATATTTGCTGTAGTCCAAAATATGAGGTGTATCGGTGTGATAGTCGGCCACCATCTCACAGAAATGATTTGATATGTCAAATGCAACAGCATTATAACTTGCATACTCATAGTCCTGGCAAGAAAGGTTAACACATCATCAAAACTTTTGAATATTCTGGAAAAATAATTATGTCAGAAGGCCAAACCAAAGAATTTCATCCATGCTGTTCATGCCCTATCATGTGCACATTGAAGAAGACAGAATTTGATATTCTATGTATGCAATAAACATTTTACTTCCCAGGAAATGAACCAAATAATTAGCCTTAAGTCAGAAATTAAGCAAAGTCAGGCATCAAAACTAGTGTAAGCTTAAATTTAAACCCTAAACCTAAAGGCTACTTTATAAGCCTATCATAAGTTCAAAAAAAAAAAAAAAAAA